AAGAAGAACAAAATTAGACCTATGTTTAGCAGTGAACTACTTGCAGATACATGTAAAATGTTCTACAAGATAATTCCCATAAGTCCCGCTGGGTTTCTTGCTGGTTCTTTCCAGGACAAGTTTTTTTCCGAACCAGTGGTAAAGTAAAAAATGACTTTCAATAAGAAATATATGTAATTTATATTGAATAAAAAATATTCTATTCTACGACACGTGGATTTTTAGAGAAAAAAATCATAGAATTCAAAACGCTATATGATATACAAGGCACCCTTTCTGTTTATTAGTCAGTCTGGGTAGTGCCTCTAAGCGGACGTACACTTATTCGTTGTTTGTGTAATGATTGTGCATTAGCTAGAAGTTATTTCTTAGTCCTCAGGAGTAAGAAATAAGTTGTTTGTCACCCCTATTCTATAAAAAAGGTAGCTGTGATATGGCAGCGTAAGAGAATGCATGGATCTATTTCGAATTTTCCACAAGTGTGATGGCTTCCGTTAACCGGTTCAGTGCGAATGGCACGCCAGGCGTGCCATCGATTGTGTTTGTGTGTGGCGTATGACACGCTAGTCGTGTCTTTTTAAAAATCGTTATAACTCGCTCAAATTGCGTTTTTGGAAGATTTATCCAGAACAAAATATTCATTATTTTGCAAGTAGTTCATGCCTACAGCTTCGTTTCTGGATATTTAGAAATTTAGAAATTTTTAGGGGTTAACAACATTTTTTTAACTTGTACATTGTACTCTTTTTACTTTGCGGGCTTAAATCATGTTGTGGAAAAATAGTCTAATAAGTAACAAATAATAGCACTCATTGCAATCGCTCACAAACTGAAGTAGTAAATAAATTTCTGGAAAACAAGTCTCCTGTTATAAAAAGATAATGCGTTTGTCTTGTTTAATTTTGCTTAAATTGGTTGCACTTCCGTCGTCATCATCATCATGACAGCCTTTCTTAAGTCCACTGCTGAACATAGGCCTCCCCTAAGGAATGCCACAAAGCACGGTCCTGAGCCACGTGCATCCATCGACTTAGTGCATATCTTACCAGGTCGTCACTCCATCTAGTGGGGGGTCGCCCTACACTTCGCCTACCGGTACAAGGCTGCCACTCGAGAACCTTTCTTCCCCATCGGTTGTCGGTTCTTCGAGCTATATGGCCGGCCCACTGCCACTTCAGTTAACTAATCCGTTGGGCTATGTCGGTTACTCTGGTTCTACTGCGGATATCCTCATTTCTCACTGAGCTCTGACTCTCCATAGCTCACTGAGCGACCTTGAGCTTCCTCATACGGCCAGCAGTGAAGGACCACGTCTCAGATCCGTAAGTCATCACTCGTAACACGCACTGGTTGTACAATTTCGTTTTAAGGTTTTGAGGTATGTCTAACGAGAAGATGTGTCATAGTTTTCCGAACGCTGTCCAGCCGAGTTGAATCCGTTGATTGACCTCTCGGTCGAAGTTGGACTTGCCTAGTCAGACTGATTGTCCCAGGTAAACATACTCGTCAACAACTTAAAGCTTAGTGCTCCCAACAACTACCGGCATAGGTGTGACATGGAACGTTATACATTATTATGTCCATGTTCATCTTAAGACCTATCCGTTGGGAGACACTATTGAGGTCATTGAGCATAGTGCTTAGGTCCTCCAGCGATTCTGCCATAAAGAATATATCGTCGGCAAATCGAAGGTGAGTGATGTACTCGGCATTGATGTTAATACCGCATCCTTTCCAGTCCAGTAGCTTTAAAACGTCTTTCAATGCAGCGGTGAGGAGTTTCGGGGATATAACGTCACCCTGTCTTACACCCCTCTGCAGTTGGATAGGTTTCGTACTATGATTCTGTACTCGGATAGCCATCGTGGTTCTACTGTATAAACACTTCAGCACTTCGATATACCGATAGTCAACTTGGCACCGCTGAAGGGACTGCAGCACCGCCCAAATTTCGACGGAATCAAAGGCTTTCTCATAGTCCACATACGCAAGGCAAAGTGTCAGATTATACTCCTCTGTCTTCTGTACAATCTGCCGCAGGGTACGTATGTGGTCTATGGTACTAAAGCCTTTTCGGAAACCGGCTTGTTCGGGAGGCTGGAAGTCGTCAAGTCTGCTTGCGAGACGATTCGTAATGACTCTTCAAGAGAGCGTTGTCGCCTTTCTTGAAGAACAAGACCACCGCACTTCTACTCCACGCCTCAGGTGTAATGCCACCATGGAGGACGGAATTAAAAAGCCTACGAAGGACTTCAAGTACCGGTTTTCCACCCGCTTTCAGAAGCTCTGTTGTAATTCCATCCTCGCCTGGGGCCTTGCCGTTTTTAAGGTGCTGGAGAGCCATTCTAATCTCGCTCAGACTGACGTCCGGGATATCATCGGAATAATGTCGGAAAAGACTCGCTCTTGGATTGTTACTCACACTTGCCTGTGGCTCCAGCGAACCTCAGCAAGCCATGAGATTAAGAGTGTGATCGGAGAGTTTTTGTGTTCTTCTGCGGCGGGTCTTGCAGAACTTAGCGCCGACCGCATGGACAGTTTCCACGAGCTTGTCATTCATATCGTCCATATCGTCGTATCGTTCATATCGTCCGGCTCGCGGCGGGAGGTATAAAAAGGCGGGGGGTCCGAGTGTGAGCTTCATACAATATTTGGCTGTTGATGTGAATAGACGTTCAGAGTGTTCGACCTTATTTACAGACAATAATTGATTTTAACAAACCGTGCTTATCAGCGCGACTTTTAGTTTACTCTTACGTTTAATAATTTATTTTTAGATTTCTTTGGTTGTTATTTTATAAAATGGTTATTAGTTATTTTGGTAGTGTTTGAATATTTCTTAGTATTAGCTTAATTATAAATTAAACTTTTATTTTATTTAGCTGTAGTTTTAAATAGGTACCTAGGTATCAAATAGGTTATTTCATTCTATTAGACGTAGTTTAGGTACCTGCGTATATATTTTTAAGAATTTAATTTTGGATTTAAGGATTTATTTACGATCCGTTTTATTATTTAGGTAGGCATTTAGATTTTTTTAAGTGTATGGTAGCTATAGTTAGGATCTCTAACGTAGATTATTTTGTTAGGTAACTGAATGCCGTCGATTAAAAATAAAATACACAATGCCACCTAAAAAACGATTATGTTTATCTCGAAATTCGAGAGAAGCTAAGAGAATGAGAAATGTGCGTTCTCAAGAATCGGCAGAGGAAAGAGCACATCGGTTAAACTCTATGAGAGTTAGTGCCTCAACTTCTGGAGCCAATGAAAGCTCTACAGAAAGAGAGATGCGATTAGCAGCTGACAGATCGAGACGAGCTACATCACGGGCGTCTCAAAGTTCTTCTCAACGAGAGCTAAGGCTTACCATTGACCGATACCAACATGTGTTATCCCGAGAAGCTGAAACTGCTTCACAACGAGAATTGGGGCTCACAGCTGACCGCGAACGGCATACACTATCTCGCGAGTCCGAAACCTACACTGAGAGGGAATTACGTCTCACAGCTGACCGCGAATGGCATACATTATCTCGCGAGTCCGAAACCTACACTGAGAGGGAATTACGTCTCACAGCTGATCGCGAACGGCATGTACTATTCCGTGAGTCCGAAACCTTCACTGAGAGGGAATTACTTCTCACAGCTGATCGCGAACGGCATGTACTATCCCGTGAGTCCGAAACCTACACTGAGAGGGAATTACGTCTCACAGCTGATCGCGAACGTCATATTTTATCTCGAGAATCTGAAACTTTTACTCAATATGAAGACCGTTTGACAAATGATAGGGTGCACCATAATATTATTTGATCTCTTGAATATGAACATGAGCATGAATAACGACTAGAGTCGGGACACGAATATTACAATTCTTTGAGACAAGAACGATTAATAAGTTTGTCTAATGAAAGATTAAGAATTGAAAATATTCGGTCTCTTGAAACGGACGAACAGCGAGAGGCCCGTCTTACTGCAGACAGATTTCGACATAGTCTTAATGACTTAGATGTACACATAGAAGATCAATCTACAAATTCGGTGGCGTGGTCCGACAAATATAAAAGTGGGTTTGCTTATAATCTCACAATTGACTAAAGATCATCTTCTGTAATAGGCGATATGAACGTAGTATGTTCTTTTTGTAATGCTTCAAAGTTGAGTAAGGAGTCGGCTGGTTTCTGTTGTTCTGGAAATGGTAAAATAAATTTGCCTTCGTTCGTAGATCCACCGGAACCTTTGAAGTCACTACTTTTAGGGGAACATGTGTAATCTAAACAGTTCTTAGACAATATTCGCACTTATAATAGTGCGTTGCAAATGACATCCTTTGGTGCTCAACAAATCTCAGAAGGTCCTTTCATGACTACTTTTAAGATACAAGGTCAGGTTTACCATTTGATAGGATCCCTTTTGCCTGAAGACCAACCTAAGTTTCTTCAAATATATTTTGTATCCGACTACAACGAACAGTCGAATATAAGAAATCAATATTTCCCGAATTTAAATACTGAACTTATTTCACAACTTCAGAACATGTTGCATCAGGTTAATTCGTATTTAGGCAGTTTTAAATCGGCATTAGAAGCTCTTCCTCAAGATGGTGATAATAATTATAAAATTGTTATAAATGCCGATAGGCGTTCAACTCAGGAACACCCTGGGCGTTATAACGTTCCATCCACGAATGAAGTTGCTGTAGTATTCGACCAGGAATGTGTTAGGCGTGATATCGTTATCCGTTCCAGAAACAATCGTTTGCAACGTATTTACGAAACCCACAGGGCTTACGACAGTTCGCAATATCCTTTGATATACTCTCGAGAAGAAGATGGTTATAATTTCGCTTTATACCAAACTGATCCGCGTACAGGCGCACCTAATTATAATAAAAAGATGTCATGCCTTCAATTTTATTGTTACCACTTGCATGTGAGACGGAATAGATTTGTATACTTTCAACGTTTTCGTGGCTTATTCAATCAGTTTATTTTTGACATGTACGCAAAAATTGAAACCGAAAGATTAGTTTATATACGATCTAATCAAAGGCAGCTGCGCGCTGAAGAATACGTGCACCTTCGCGACGCCGTGCAGCAAGATAATGATACGGTGAATATGGGCCGTTTAGTTATTTTACCCTCTTCTTTTACTGGTGGTCCACGCTACATGCACGAACGTACTCAAGATGCTTTTTGTTACGTAAGAAAATATGGACGTCCTGACTTATTTATTACTGTAACTAGCAATACCAAGTGGGATGAAATCACTCGGGAGCTTATTGAGGGTCAAGCACCGCATGACATGATATTATCGCAAGAGTTTTTCATTTAAAATTAAAATCAATGATAGATCTACTTACCAAAGATAACATTTTTGGAGATGTATTGTGTTATATGTATAGTGTTGAGTGGCGAAAACGCGGCTTACCTCACGCACATATCCTGCTTTGGTTAAAAGATAAGGTTCGACCTAATGATGTAGACAGTTCAATCAGTGCTGAAATTCCAGATCCGATTGCAGATCCCGTGTTATACGACATTGTTAAAACTCATATGATACATGGTCAATGTGGTGCATTTAACGGGAATGCTCCTTGCATGCAAGACGGTCGTTGCACTAAAAGATATCCAAAAGCATTAGTGGATGAAACTGTAACAGGACATGATGGATACCCATTATATCAAGAGACAATGATGGTTTTACTGTTGAAAAGCGAGTGTCAGGACAACTGGTTACTTTAGATAATAGGTGGGTCGTTCCGTATTCGCCTGTGATGTCTAGAGCATTTCAAGCTCACATAAATGTTGAAATGTGTAATAGTGTAGAGTCATTAAAATATATTTGTAAGTATATTAACAAGGGAAGTGACCAAGCTACATTTGCGTTGAGAAATGAACATGATGAAGTTACTAGATTTCAGTCAGGCAGATATATCAGCTCTTCAGAAGCTGTGTAACGGATCTTAAGTTTCAACATTCACGAAAGATATCCACCTGTGATTCATCTGGATGTTCATCTTGAAGGCGGTCGACGTATATATTTCAACGCCGAAAATGTTACAGAACGATTAGAGAACCCTGGACAAACAACTTTATTAGCATTCTTTCGACTTTGCTAAACTGATGATTTTGCAAAATCTCTTTTATATGAGGAAGTTCCATCGTATTATACCTACGATAAGCAACGAGGTGTCTTTAATCGTAGACGCCGTGGCAGGCCTGTAGATGGCGAGTCAGGTATTTTCAAAGAACATGTTCTTGGTAGAGTGTATACCGTTCATCCTAACAACGCTGAGTGTTTCTATTTGCGATTATTATTACATACAGTGCGAGAACCAACATCATTTATAGATTTGAGAAAAGTAGACGATGTTGTTTATCCAACGTATCATGCAGCTTGCCAAGCGCGTCGTTTGCTTGAAAATGATCAGCATTGGGATGACGCTTTAGCAGAATCCTGTGTTAGTGATAATCTACGACGGTTACGCCATTTATTTGTAACATTACTCACATTTTGTAATTTGTCAGATGCTGTACAATTATGGGAAAAATATAAAGAAAAATTTGCAGAAGACTTTCTTCGAAATATATCACACAATGATGAAGGCGCAATTAATGATAATTTCCGTGATCTTGCCATAAATCTGTGCTTATTAGCTCTTCAGGAAGACTTAACAGCAGTAGGCGGTAAATCACTCTGTGAATATGGTTTGCCAACACCAACCTCAGTCGAAGAGGTTACCAATAGGGAATATTCTGCAGAGATTGGTTACAACTCAATGGAACTGCTGGCAACATTAGAAAACGGTGTCCCAATGATGACTGCAGAACAACGTTCAGTCTATGATCGCGTGTGCGAGAGTGTTCAGAATAATTTGGGAACAATATGGTTTTTAAATGCACCTGGAGGAACTGGGAAAACCTTTTTGACTAAATTAATATTAGCTTATGTTCGAAATCAGCGTAAAATTGCTTTTGCCGTGGCTTCATTAGGTATAGCTGCAACATTGCTACCAGGAGGTAAAACTGCTCACACTATGTTTAAAATACCAATTGATTTAGATCGCACGGAAAGTCCAACCTGTAGTATTTCAAGAAATAGCGACAAAGCTAAGGTATTACGTGAGTGTAATTTAATCATATGGGATGAATGTACGATGGCCCACCGAAAAGGAATAGAAGCGGTAGACAGAACTTTAAGGGATATAAGACAAAATGATCGACCAATGGGCGGTATCACGGTTTTATTTTGTGGTGATTTCCGACAAACCTTACCGGTAATACCACGGGGAACCCGAGCTGATGAGGTTAGGGCTTGCCTAAAAAGCTCTTATTTGTGGCGTGATATACAATCGGTACATTTGACTATAAACATGCGAGTAAGAACTGGAGATAACCCGGATGATCGTCAATTTTCTGATAAATTATTAAAGATTGGGGAAGGTACCTATCCACAACTACACCAAGGAAAACTTATTCTGACGCCTGAGTTATGTTGTATAGTGCAATCCCAACCACATCTTATATCGTCGGTTTACGGTGACGTAACAATTATATTAAATAGGGACAATTTTTGGCTATGCGAAAGATCCATTTTAACTCCTCGCAATGACCAGGCATCTGAGATTAATAACAAAATACTGTCGAATATACAGGGGGAAAGCAAAGTTTATAGTTCAATAAATTAAATGGTTGATGAACAAGAAGCCACTAATTACCCGATAGAATTTTTAAATTCTTTAAATATGCCCGGACTTCCTTCTCATGAAATTTGTTTAAAAATTGGCATTCCGATTATTCTGCTCCGAAATTTAAGACCACCACAACTTTGCAATGGAACTCGGCTAAAAGTAACCCAGTTGCAACAAAATATAATCGAGGCTCAAATTTTAACAGGTTGCGGTGCAGGAGAAACCGTCTTTATTCCCAGAATTCCCATAATACCAAATAATTTTCCATTCCAATTTAAAAGAACGCAATTCCCAGTATCATTGTGTTATGCAATGACAATTAATATGGCTCAAGGGCAGACTTTTCGTGTTGCTGGAGTAGATCTCGGTGTCAGTTGTTTCTCGCATGGTCAGTTGTACGTCGCTCTTTCCCGGGTTAGCAGTTCTAGAAATCTTTATGTTCACGTGCCGGACGGGTGAACTTTCAACATAGTTTACCCGGAAGCTTTGCGCTGAAGTATTTTTGTTCTATAAGTACTTAAGCCTCATGTGAACGTGATCTAAACAATATTACCAATATATTAACTTAATAACACACAAGGAGTTACTCTCCATCCAAAGCCCAGCGACACTATAACATATATAGGAATGACGTCTTAGCAAAAGTTGTTTAGTCTGATGGGCATTTCCTGTTGACTTACAAAAATGAAAGATCTAGAACGTCTCGCGAATCACGTTGTTTTCCCGTCCCCGGGCTCTTAGAATTCAACATCAGACGTTTCAGATCTTCGATTTTGACGACCCCGTTGTCGCTAGCATAAGCAACAGGATCCGCGTACGAAGTCGCGGGCAGAAGCTAGTTATAGTATAAATGAATACATGGTTGATAATAACCCCTGGGAATGAGGTGATCGCTTCCAAGCTGTTTCTAAAATAAATTTTGTACTTATATAGTTTGTACAACCATTAATGTAAAAATTGCTTTAAAAAAAAGTCCCGCTGGGTTTCTTGCTGGTTCTTCCCAGGACAGAGGTTTTTTTTTCGTTCCAGTGGTAAAGTAAAAAATGACTTTCAATAAGAATTACACATGTGATCTATATTGAATAAAAAATTATTCTATACTATTCTATTCTATTCTATTTGTGGTCTATCAAATCTAATGTAGTGACGGGAGCGATCCTGTACGTGTTCACAGACTATCAGCTATGTGTTCTTTAACGCGGATTTTTATGGATCTTTTGGTTTGTCCTATATAAGAGAGACCACATTCACAATCAAGCTTGTACACTCCTGCATCTTGCAGACGGACATTACACTTGACTGATGGTAAAAACTGACTAATCTTCTTCGGCGGCTTGAAGTATGTTTTAGTGGAAGCACGCTTCAAACCCAAAGATCAAGAGACCAAAACCAAAAGATCCATAAAAACCCGCGATAAAGAACACATAGTGATGTGAATAATAGACGCTCCGGAAAGTCTGGTCTGTGAACCCGTACAGGATCGTCCCCGTTACTACATTAGATTTGATAGACCACAAATCCTCGCCAAAGAACACCGATTCCTTCCAAGGATCATTCGCGAGGCTATTGAAATCAAGAAACATCCTAATTTCAATAGAGAAGATAGCTGGGTGCTACCATCTGCTTGGGATACCATTATTAATAAAATTAAATCCCAACCCAAGCACACAACTGCAAATCTTCAAGATACTGTAAGTTCATGCTGCGTAGATCGGAACAAAAAATAATAATTTTTAATCTGGAGGTAGCCGTGGTTAACTATGACATTGGGACGTCATACAATACACCTCAGTCCCCCCCGTGACCATGGGTGCTGTAAAGTGCTCGAAACGTCGGGAATATAAATAAAAATACGCGATAAAATCCGTAAAATTAGTTTTATTTAAATGTGAAGGCGATAGTCGAAGCGAATCTGTTTCATATTACAGCTTTTGATGTAAGTGTCAAATCAAAATTAGATCATTTGCAATTGCGATAGTCAGAAAAATAAAGAAGCTTGGAAAATGGGTACCTCAGAAACTGAATAATACATAGCGAGAAGCCCAGTTCAAGCTTGCATAATATTGAATCGGCATAGAAAGGAAAGATTTTTGAGTTGATTCATTTCAACCTGCGATGATAAGTGTGTCCTATACGGCAATCTCAAACGTCCAGCATAGTGATTTAAGAAAGCTAAGAAGCTTATGTATGTCCAAATAATATATTGAACCCCAAAGAAATAAATGCATAATTCCCCATCGGTTGTCGGTTCTTCGGCAATATGGCCGGCCCATTGCCACTAACCCGTTAGGCTATGTAAGTCACTCTGGTTCTACTGTGGATATCCTCATTTCTAAGTTTATCACGCAGAGAAACTCCGAGAAACCCCGAGCATAGCCGTCTTCATAGCTCGCTGAGCGACCTCGAGCTTCCTCATAAGGCCAGCAGTGAAAAACCACGTCTCAGATTCATAAGTCATCATTGGCAACACGCACTGGTTGTACAATCTCGTTTTCAAGTTTTGGTACACAAAGGAATAACATGCTTTAATATAAAAATTTATTTCAATTTAAATTCATAACATACATTCCTACAAGTTAAACCATAAATACTATAGTTCAAAGTAGCCAATTTAACAAAACGGTAATTTCATACGTAAAAA